GTGGCAGATGCTGTGGCAACTATGCTTAAATGAGTTGGGAGATATCTATAAGAAGGGTGGTGTCACCGATCCCAAAAGTGAGCTTACTGCATTTTGGGCACCCTTTTTTCTGTTGCAATTTGAAATTATAAAGGCCTTGTTTCTTTTGAAGTTTCCAGGATGCTGCTCGGAAAATGGGTTGGAGTCATTGGAGGATGACTTTCTTGGAGATGATTGGTTTAAGTCAATTGAAACAATAAAGGTGCTGTTTGGTGATGAATTTGTTTTATATGTGAGTGTTTGTTTTCAGTACATTTTCTATGCATTAGAATGGGTGGAGAAGCCATTCCTTTACTCAACTCTGTTTTCCATAGCAATAAACAGGGCAAACTTATAGGGGAATTTCATGACTGTTTTCAATACATTTAGATAAATTGGAATGCTGAGAAAGTCATGATCGACTTGACCAAAACATCATGAGAAATTCACTATATTTTCATAATTAATACAGTATGTAAAGTGAAATAATCTCAGTATGTAAAGGAAAACAAGATGATTGTTTAATCCTGAGATGGAAACAATAAATTCAACTACGGAAGTTCACATTGGGAAACAAAAGGAAAAAAACAAATTTCGGATGAAGAGGAAAATGAAAAACAAAAGATTGCTTTTGAAACTTGTTTCAAAGCAAAGAATCAGTAGATGAAAAGAAAATGCAATAATATGAACAATGTTAGATGAACAAGGCAATAAAAAAGATGAAAACTACTCACAAATAGAGGTTGAAAGTTCCAGTGGTTTTCAATCACAACTATGTCTTTGCCAATGCCTTCTTTAACTTTATCTACAAAATCCTTCTTCATACTGGTTAAGGTCAATTCTTTCAGGGAAGTCACATTCTCCAACCCAATTGGCTTCTCCAGACGTTTGCACCATCTAATCTCTAAATATCTTAGGAAAGGCATGACTCCTTTGTCGATAGTCCATTCTATCAACTCCGTTAGCATCCATAGCTTCAAAACCTGGAGTTGGGGAAATGCACGGCTGCCACTAAGACGATGCATCTTTTTCCCCGAGTAGGAATTTGTGAAAAGCCTAAGGACTTTCAGGTGTTCCAGCCCTTCTAGTGTCTGCATTGGGTCTTCTGATGGATGAGACCTTGAGAATGCAAGGACTTTAAGATTACTGTCAAGTTTTTTTTATGTCAAGTCAATTGAACATTCCGACCAAATACAAGTTTGACAGCTTTGTGTGACTGAACAAGGATGGAAAATGGATAAGTGAAGGTTTATTATTGTCATCCACTGATTTCAACCGCAAAGACCGAAGACTGGCCTGTTGCAAAACCCAGTGAGCTAGTTCTCAAATTGAGTTTGTGTGGCATGTCCATCCGAATTTCCTTATAAACCTCAACCTTTTCAACCAGTTAACTACACGCCTGCTATCGCCTATTACTACAACCCATAAGGTTTGAAGGTTCCTTGGAAACCCATTGTCAGTTATCGTAATTTCAAGAAAAATACCGTGCATAGAGAGATGCCGAAGGTTGTATGCCTTCCAGATAGACATAGGTAACGTGGTTATTGAAGTGTACTTCACATCTAAATTCTCTAGCCAACGAAGATCACCTACTGACTCTGGAATTGAGTTTAGGGAAGTTCGTCTCAAACCAACGTACGTAACTTAGAAGCGGCAGTTTTCTTCCGAGTGTTTCCGGTAGCACTGGCTTGTAGACACCTTCTAGATCAAGTACGGTGAGCGATCCAAAACCTCTAGTGACTATCTTGTTCAGGAATTTTCCTACTGCATCCGAAGGAGTTTACCTCTCGTTCCGCTGTTAAAGGATATATAAGAACGTAGATGTTGAACTTCTGTGTCTGAGGAAGAATGCTTCTTGATGTCAACATACTCCACAAGCCTCTGGATGTTAAAGTTTGGTGATTTTGATGTTGAATCTGAGTGAGAATGTATGTGAAAACATCCCATTCTCGTTGCAATTAGAGAGATAGTATCATATACAGTACTTGGCACAAAACATGTTTTGGGGCTTCCATCTAACCTCACACTTGCTACCTCGACCAAGTTCCTATCCCTCAGCTCATTAAGACAACTTTCCGCCAGGTCTTCAAGACAAATTTCCACCTCCCGCGGTTTCATCAATCCCTCAGCAATCCATAGTGGAAACAACCTTCTAATGGGGATTTCATGTGATCTGGGGAAAAGACATAAACAAATGAGTTATGGAATTAGAGGATAAGGTAGGCCATGATAGCCCAACGCCAAAATATTTGAAGGACTGGGTTCCTCTAAGGAAGCTGAGTGATTTTCTTCCCCTGGTGCATCAGCTCCTTGCTGAGTATAGTCTCTCATTCCATCTTTCTTTTGTTGTCTTTGCTTGCTATTATCACTAACCACTCTTTCTTCTCCTTTTTTCTTTCCCTTTGTATTCTCAATCGCCCCTAACCATGCAGCAGTGCTAAATTCTATATTAGACAAAAAGCGAGTCAGCACGGATACTGCAATAGGTAGACCCCCACATTTTCGCAAGATTTTCTCCCGAATCTATCCCTGAGAAAACACTTCGTCTCCTGTTTCTCTTCTGGCCCTTTTCGAAAACAAACTCCGACTTTCGTCCTCAGTCAGTGGATTTACTCGGAGAAGAGGAATTGTTGGATCAATATGAGTTGCTATATTAGGGTCACGGCTAGTTAGGATGACCCTGCTACCATTTGATGAGATTGGAAAGACCACTTGGAGTTTCTCCCATATAGCAGGTGCGTGGACATCATCCAAGACAATTAAGTACCTCTGAGTGTTTAATAAATTAATACAAGGCTTCTCCTGCAACTTCTCGAGTGGCAATTTCTCTTCATCTCTAACCTCAGTCACCTGCTTCAATATCTGAACTAATAGATTTTTCTCTTTAAAATTTGGAGAAACAGTTATGGAAAATTTTCTTTATCTCTGAATGGTTGTAAACTCTTTTCACTAGAGTTGTCTTGCCAGAGCCTGAAACACCCACCACTGATATCAGAAGCTTCTCACTAGTCAAAATTAATCTACTTAATTCCGAAATTTCAGAATCGAAACAAAAAATATCTTCTTCAGTATTTATCTGATGAAAAACTGTTTGCAAGCACTGCTTTTTTTCATCAAAAAATTCACAACATTTTATGATAATATCATAGAAACATTTGACAGTGGGTTTAGGGTTTGCATCAGAAGTTCTTTTGCGCGGCTCGACGGATACCGAGTCAGTGAGCTGATCCAAACTTTTTTTCATCTCATTGCTGAAACGAAATTGCACCTTGGATGACCTCAAGAAAGAAGGAAACTTAATAGAAACTTTCTGTTTCTGCAAATTTGTACTTAGGAAGAAGGTGTGTATGGCCTCCTCTGCCAGATAAACAGCTTGCAGAAGCTTGATCGTCCAGTTATCAATTGCCAGAGCACTTCTTTTGTTCCAAGATTTTTAGAGTATCTCTAAGCTTCTACATGAACTGTCTGAATTCTGTATCCACTCTTGAATTAACTGGACAATAAGAGCGTACCCATGCATCAACTAAGTTCTCAGCCGCATGGTAAATGATTGCTTCTTCAATAGCCATGGACTATCAATCTCCGTTTCTCTTTTCTGTTTTTTTTTTTTCTCAATACTTGCGACTCATGTGGCTCCTTTGCTCAGATCTGCGATGTAGTCAAACCTGAACGAAATAGAGAAGCAACAGGAACAAAATAATAATAATTAAACAAAACAAACAGTAAACAAAGAATGTAATACGCGCGATTTACCCTGGTTCACCCAATGTAGGCTACGTCCAGCTGAGTCAATATTATTGCAATATGCCTCACTTCTCTCGTTTACAATGAATGAATTGTTCTCACACACATAACAAGAGAAAAGAATGTTTATATACTAGGTTTAAGGGATTAAACCTAGTTTTACAAGAATTCCTATTCCTAAGCCCAACCCAAAAAGGAATTAATAACTTAAAAGGAATCCTACAGCNTTTTATTTAATTTTTTTTTTTTTTTTTGTTCTTCTTAATATGTATCTAATTTTTTACTTTTTAAATTTGAAATTGAAAGACTAAAATTAAACATAGGGGGTATCTAAGACTTTTTTTTTCTGTTAAAATTAACCATGATATCCCTAAATTGAGTGAATTGGATTTGGTGTACGTTTCTTAGCATTTCTTAAAAAATTGTACCAGAATTTAAAATATGAAAGCTACTGTTTGTTTAGACAGTGATAGATAAATATATAATTTTGTTCAAGAATATGAAGAATAGAACATGCAATGAATTGGGAAAAGAAACATCAAATACAATGATTACTAACGGACAGAGTTTGAGTTGGCAGCTAAATTAAATTTATATTAATTTATTTTATTTCTATTTCATATTATATAGTGGTGGGTGGGTTAGCGTAAGGGAATAAAGTACTAATTGAAGTTAGTTAATAAAGTGTTAATTTAATCCAAATTGACTTAAATCCATTTTCTGAGCAGCACCAGAGAAACTTCAACACTTGCGCCAAATCAAGAAACAGCGCCTTTTTTATTTGAAATTGACTTAACCATCCAGCGACTCCAACCCATTTTCTGAGCAGCATCCCCAGCAATAATATACATATCAAGAAACTCGCAGGGTATATATTTTTTATAAGAAAAAAAAAGACCACGGGACAATTAAGAATATTGTCAATGCGTTCACACACACCAGAAAACTTAAATCAGCTGGTTCACCTGATAAAATTAATGTCTGAAATGAAACCAATGGTTCAGGAATTTCATATATAGGAACGTACATGAACTTTCTTTATCTCTTCTGAAAACTAGTTCTGGTGAAAGATAATCTCTCCGATGATACTCACAGATGCATGTGTAACTGATCTTCTACTTGTCAATTTCCTTCTTCTATACATATTAACTTTGCTATGACATTGTACACATCTTAATTAATTTTCATGTATATTTTCAGTTGTTAGCGGCTTCATCTTGATGAAGAGGAGGATGATGATGGAGGTTTTTCCTCCAAGAATAAGAAAACTGTGGAAGGATTGGGAGCTAAGGTCATTGGTTTTCCTCAGCCTCGCCTCACAAATGCTTCTAATTTTTCTGGGCAACCACAGGAAGTACATTCCCAAAACTTGGATTAAAGTTGTGGTCTGGTCTGCCTACTTGCTGGCGGATGCTGTGGCATCTATGGCCCTTGGCGTGCTCTTAAATAACATAGGAGAAATCTACGGCAATGGTGGTGTTCCTGATTCCAATGGTGAGATTGCTGCGTTTTGGGCACCGTTTTTTCTGTTGCATTTGGGTGGCCCAGACACTATTACAGCATGCTCTTTGGAAGACAATGAGTTGTACCTAAGGCACGCATTTCAGTTACTTTTCCAAACACTAACCACAGTATTGACCTTTCTAACTGCATGGAATGGCTCGCGGATTTCAATTCTTGCAATACCAATGATTATTGTTGGGTTTATCAAGTATGGAGAGAGGACATGGACTCTCTGGTCAGCAAGCAGTAATCAACTTAAAGAATGGGTGCTCTCTTCGGCTGCTGCTGATTCCAATTACCCCAAATTCTTGGATGAGTACCCATTGTATCTTGCCGAGGGATACAAAGTGGAAAGAGACTTCATGATAGATGCTCCGGCTTTTAAAATAAACACGTCTGAGTCTGGAAACGAATTCAATTCTGATCAAAAGATCATATTCGCCTATGCTTTATTTCATATATACAAGTGTCTCTTTGCAGATTTGAGCAACAGCGACATCGAGCGAGAAAGCATTGAGCCTTTATTAAAGGATATGTCTCATAAAGATGTTTTTAGTGTGATCACTATTGAACTAGGATTCATGTATGATCTGCTATATACCTCCAATTCAATTTCCCCCAAGTTGAGCAAGCCCTATACACAATCTCACAAACCCTAAATCCCCAAAAGTAGAAATTTGTCCACTGTGAATCACGAATCATGATCATCCCCTGTGCTTGCGGTCGCCGATCACCTATCCATTGTTCTTGCCTTCGTTGATGATTGACAACGTGGAGGAATCGCAACTTCATCCCCAAAGTGCAAAACAATTATTTTCTCCAATTTGAGCACAAAATTGGCAAGAGGAAGCACAATCAGTAAGTATCCAAACTCACAAATGCTTCTCTGAATTCGTTAAGGTTCATTAACATAGTTTAGGGTTTAATTACACACAGTTCATAAATTCTCTGCTTGAAAACGACAATATTTGATAAATTGATGATGAATTTTGGGCCATGTTTGCACATTATGAAAAGTAGTGTTAAGAAATAAGTGAAGTTTGGCATCTTCATTTTGCACATTATGAAAAATTGATTGTTGTAGGCTTATAGGGTTGATTTTGAATCACGCCACTGTGTGTCAGTTTGCACTTGCGAAGACAGGCCACTATGTGTCAGTTAATACACACACGTTTACTAGTATTGTAGCATAACAGTAAAGCCCCATTTGCAAATTCCAAAACAACCGCCATCCCCATAATAGTAATAAACCTTTATTCCTTTAAATAAATGTTAGATTCTTCGAGCTTAGAGCTTGACAGACAATATGTTGACTTTTAAATAATGTCTATCAATTAGAAGTATTTTTAATGATGTTTAATTGATTATGGTTTGTGTGTGTTGCTGGATTTTGCAGTTTGTGTGTTTCCTTAATGATGGTTTCTTATTTTTCAACTATAGTTATGGCCTCCGAAGGCAGTTCCTCAAGCACCCCGACATTGGATGACATCGACGATACAGTTACAATTTAAGCAGTTGATCATCATAACATCTATAGAAGTACAACCACTACCCATACGGAACAAAGTGTTAGTAGCCCCAAAAATGTAGTGAACAATGAAAATCCACTTCATAGGAAGAAGAGAGCTAAGACATTAGCAGTGTGGACATAATTTAGGGAGGTGGTTGTTCGTGGTGGTATAAAGAAGGTGTAGTGCATCCACTATAAAACCAAGCTGAAAATTACTACCACTGGAAGCACTACCCAATTTAATAGACATTTGAAGAGGTGTGCGAAGAGATTAGCTTCCTTGAGGCAACAACAAATTAATTTTCCCCCTTCCAGTTCTCAAAGTACATCTCTTATGTTGCCTACTCTACGAGGCCAGTTTGATATGCTTAAGATGAAGGAACTTATTGCCCATTGACTACTGATGCATGAGCATCCATTTACTGTTGTGGAGGAAGAGGGATTGAACAATATGATGAAGTATGAGATTCCTGAATGGAGTCTAATTTTGCGTAATAATTGCAAGAATGATTGTGTGAAAGTATATGAAAATAAGAAGCAAAAGTTGAATATGGTATTGAAGGGTGTTAGAAAGATCAGTCTCACCACATATATATGGAATATTCAGGCAATTAGAGGATGGAATACATGGTGTTGATTGGGCATTGGATTGATGATAATTGGAAGTTGAATAGACGGGTCCTGAACTTTGTTCATTTGCCTCCTCCTCATACTAGTGTCACCAATTCTGATGCTATTTTCAAGTGCTTGATGGAGTGCGGAATTGAGACTAAGGTCCACACAATCTCAATGGACAATGCTTCAAGCAATGATGTTGCAATCAAAGTCTTGAAGGAAAATTTCCTAGCTATGGGGAAGCTCATATGTGGGGGCAAGTTGCTTTATGTAAGATGTGGTACACATATCTTGAACTTGATTGTTCAATATGACCTTTATCAAATTAGACACATTATTGATGACATCTGTGACAATGTGTTATATATCAATGCCTTAGAAAGCGGCCTTAAGGTTTTTTCAAATTAAGATTGTTCAAGAATTGCGATTGCTGTTTCGCAAGCTTATTTTTTATTGCAAAACATGGTGGAATTCAACATATAATATGCTGGCAATGACAATCAAGTTTAGATGTGTTTTCCTAGATTGAAGGAGATGTATATGAGTTACCATTATTGTCCCAATGAGGATGATTGAGACAAAGTAGAGAAACTTTGTAATATTTTGAAGGTGTTTAGTGGTGCGACCAATCTCATATCAGGGAGTTACTATTTGACATCAAACTTGTTTCTAAAACAAGTTTGTCTAATCAAAATTGTGTTGGATAGTAAGAGTGAAGATGAAGATGAATTTATAAGGACCATGGTTTGGAAAATGAAAGAAAAGTTTGACAAATATTAGGGGAATGTAATCTGCTAATAGTCGTGGCCACTGTATTGGATCCTAGATTGAAGATGAGGGTCATTCAGTGGTAAGATGTATCCTGACCCGGAAGCGCAGGCAAATTCTGATGCTGATACTAATCGAGATGCCTTGTATGAGGCATATAGGGAGTATGTTGATGCTAGTAAAACATTAACTGCTGCTCGCAATTCTACGTGAGGAGGGGATGGACTTGAGACTATTAGTGAGGGGTCGAGTGTAGCGGCAGCCAAACTGGAGGATTGGGATGATTTTAGTAGCTTTCTGAATGTGGTCGAGAAGGTCGAGCCAAGTAAATCAAAGTTAGACTGTTATTTGGGAGAGGGATACCATAAATGTGTGGGGGGTTCTGCGATTTTTGATGCTTTACAGTGGTGGAAGGCAAATTCAACAAAGTTCCCAATTTTTTCTACCATGGCTAGTGACATATTAGCCATCCCTATCACTGTGGTTGCTTTTGAGTCTACTTTCAACACTAGGAGTAGGGTTATTGACACGTATCAATCATCGTTAGCTCCTAACATGGTGGAGATGCTCTTATGTGGATGTGATTGGTGTCGCTCTTTGAATGGGGTGAAGAAATGGTGCAAAGTAGGTGATATTGAATATTGTTTTGATTAAATTCAATAATTACATTATCTTTATTCTAACTAAACCTTAATTACTCCTCCTTTGTCATCTCAGGAAGAACAACAACCATTGGAGATCAATTTTCCTATACCATAAGTTCTTGGGATTCATATTCAGTACATGGTTTGGGTATGGCAGGAGGCATGCATAGGTACATGGTTTATGGGTTATTTTCTGGTTCTAGAGTGGTTCTTTATGCTATGGAAATTTGTTCTATATTGTCTGTTTGTGATGTGGATGTTGTTGGAATTAGGCAGTAAAGGAGATTTGAGCGTGGGGAAATAGTTGGAGAAATAATTGGACAGTAAAGGCTGACAGAATTTGAAATGAGCTTGACTTCTCACCTAATAAGGCCTTATTGGGCGAGGAGTTAGTCCCACCTCAAATTCTATCATGGTCTCAGAGCCCAGGTTCAATTCAATTGAGTACTTGACCAATAGCTGAGGAGTTAGAGCCGACAACTACCTCCAATAACAGGCATGACCTAACATATGGGCTTGACCGAAAGGGGAAGTGTTGGAGTCCCACACCGACTAGGTATGCTCAAGCCTATTGGTTTATAAGAGGAGGTAATTCTTTCATTCAACAAGACCTCATTTGTTGAGGAGTTAAGCCCACCTCAAATTCTATCATGGTATTATAGCTCAAGTTCAGTTGAGCTGAGTGCTTGATCAACAGGTGAGGAGTTAGAGCTAACAACTACCTCCAATAACAAGCATGACCCAATATATGAGCTTAACCATGAGGGGGAGTGTTGAAGTCCCACACCGACTAGGCACACTCAAGCCTACATGTTTATAAGAGGGGGTAATTCTTATTGGGTGAGGAGTCAGACCCACCTCAAATTCTATCATGGTATCAGAGTCCAAATTCAGTTGAGCTGGGTGCTTGACCAACGGGTGAGGAGTTAGAGCTAGCAACTACCTCTAATAGCAGGCATGACCCAACATATGGGCTTGACCGCGAGGGCGAGTATTGGAGTCCCACACCGACTAGGCATGCTCAAACCTAGCTACTAGATTATAAGAGAGGGTAATCCTCTCATTCAACGAGGCCTTCTTAGGTGAGGAGTCAGGGCCACCTTAAATTCTATCAGAGGTCATTTTGCATGGGGAAATAGAGGTCATTTGCTTGATTTTTCTTAATTGAATTGTGTTTGTGAGTTGTGGATATTGGTTAAATGAAATCTAGTTAGGTGTTCATCAATTTAGGCACGTGCTCATTAGTTAATTGTGTGTTGTAATTGCAGGCGAAGGCTGGGTATCTAACAAATTTTGATGGTGGTTTCGATACAAGACATAGACAACCATCTACATATTACAGCTACCTATATTTTGATTATTGGACATCTGTTATTTTGATGTCCTGGATTGTATTTAGATGTAAACTTAGTAGTTACTACTAGATTAAAATTAGAACTGTATTTTGATACAATCACATGCTTTTGTTTTTGTAGCTCAAATATTAATTAAGTGAAGTAAACTAAAATAAAAAATTTAGTTCACTTAACTTAATTTTCCATACAAAACTATCATGGTTAATATGATTGAAGATGCAGTAGCTATTTTTTATGCAAAATTGTGTATTTAAACATGTTCAAGAGCAAAAAAAGCCTGTAAGGCTGAAATTGGTGCAAGTCAAACCAATGTTGACTTGGCCTTAACGAGCCTGGCTCGAAATCGAGCTCACAAGCCAGCTCAAACTCGAGCTCAAGTTCGAGCACAGTTTCCTTGACTCGATAGGCTCAAGTTTGAACTCGAGCTCGATCCTATAGCATATGAGTCGAGCTTGATAAGCTGAAAGCTCAGTTCTGCTCTGCTCGGCTCGGCTCGGCTCGGCTCGGTTTGTTTACAGTCCTATATACACCAAGGCCATCGTAATTCATACTCGTTGGGGTCTAATTCGCCGGGTTATCACTACTTGTCTCACCACCTTTGAGTTGGTGATTTTCTGTTTTCTTGACAAGCAGAAATATTCCAAGTTTGATGTGTGGTTAACTTTCTTGTTGTTGGGTATAGCTATCGTTCTTGAGATATATGCTGCTATTGTTCTATTCTTCTCTGATCAATCTAGACATTGGTTCATTGGGCGGAAGAAGAGCTATACCATCCTACAACCCATGTATCTTTTGGAAGCAACACTTTCACTACCACGATGGTCAAATTCCATTGGGCAATACAATTTTACAAGTCTTTGCATCAAAGAAAATTGACTGTAAAATCGTGGGGCTCCATCTGATTGTTACACTACTGAAAAAACAATGGCTTGTGGATAAACTACTACTGCAAATGCAGCAGTACAGGAATAAACTACTAGGAAAGGGCTGTTGTAGAACGTCTTATACACAGGTGACCGAAGAATTGCAAATTTTCAACCATGTGAACAGGGAACATGATCGAGTTAACGAACATAGAGGAAGAGAAACGAATCCCCAAGAATTGCAAGAATTGATCTTCAACCATGTCAAGAAGGATATTGGTCAATCTAAGGAGAATAGAGGAAACCTCAGGATGACAAGGGGAAGCCGTGCACTTGAATTCATAGTATGCTTAAATAGAGTGTTGAGATGGACTTTGATGAAAGTATCCTTATCTGGCACATTGCAACAGAACTTTGTTATTACCAGGACAAATATTCAAGAGTCTTCGAAACTAAAAATAACAACACTGTTGCTGAAATGAGCATGGTATTGTCAAAATATATGATGTATCTTCTTGTTTAGAATCCTTTACTGTTGCTAGTTGGAGTGGGGGGTGTTCTCAGGCGTCGAGATACTCTTTCTGAGGTTGGGGAATATTTCACGAAACACAAAAATCTCCATTAAGCATTTCGACCCATCAAACCAAACTGAACAGAGTAGTGGAGATGATGGTGACGGTGACAATAACAGAATTCGTGGTTGGACTGATTTACTAAACTCAGTATCGAAGTGAAAGATGACGCAATCAAATCCAT